CTGGGCAGGTGGCAGCCAAGGGTACTCTGTGCCCGCAGGGGCTGCCGTGGCCTTCCTTGAGGATCAAGCGCACCAGCTGGGCCTGAGCTGTCAGAAAGTGGAGGTGAGCCCGCGGCCCTGCGAGTGTGGGGAGGGGGGCCTGCAGGGTGGGGGGGGCACCTTGCACTGACCACCTCCCCTCCGACCTTCACCAGGTGGCACCCGGCTATGTGGTGACCGTGCTGACCTGGCCAGGCACCAACCCTACACTCTCCTCCATCTTGCTCAACTCCCATACCGATGTGGTGCCCGTCTTCAAGGTGTGTATGGGCTTGGGGGGGGGGGGGCAGTACAGGCCTTGGGGACAGACACAATGCAGACCCCAGGATCTGGTGTGGTGCCAGCACCGACTCCCCCAACTCCAGCAGTGATTCTGTACCAGGGTGGGGGTGGAGTCTGGAGACAGGGATGGGGGACGGCAGTCAGCTGCTGCCTGCAACACTCCTCTGTGCCCCTCCCCCACCACCCGTCACCCCAACCCACGGTGGACCCCTCCTGCCATCCCTGCCAAAGGAACACTGGAGTCACGACCCCTTCGAGGCCTTCAAGGATCCTGAGGGCTACATCTACGCCAGGGGTGCCCAGGACATGAAGTGTGTCAGCATCCAGTGAGTGTCCTCCATTCCTGTCCCCACCGGCCTGGTGGGTGGCCCCCAGACCTGCGGCTGTGATGGGAGAACCTCAAGGCCATGTGACATCTTTATACATTTTTTTAAAAATGTATTGATTTCCTCTTATTTGAAAATCAGAGAGATTACCCACCTGCTAGTTCATCCCCCAAATGGCCGCAACAGCTGGGGCTGAGCCAGGCCAAATCCAGGAACCAGGAACTCAATCCAAGTTTCCCACATGGGTAGCAGGGACCCAGGTACTGAGGCACAACCTGCTGCCTCCCAGGGTGTGCATTAGCAGGAAGCTGGATTGAAAGAAAGCAGAGCTGGCACGGGAACCCAGGCACTCTGATAAAGGATGTGGTATCTCAAGTCGTGTTTTCACTGCTCTGCCAAATACCCATCCCCCAAGGGACCTGTTGATTCCTTACCCTGTCTAGACGGGGAAATTGAGGTCCAGAGAGAGCCAGGGACTGCCCAGAGTCCAGGAGTCCAGGACTCCGCAGCTGCCTTGCATCCCTTCAGGTACCTGGAGGCTGTGAGGAGGCTAAAGGCTGAGGGTCACCGTTTCCCCAGGACCATTCATATGACGTTTGTGCCGGGTAGGCGTGGCTCAGGAGGGGCACCTTTGGGAAGGGGGAGCTGGTGTTGGGGGGCAGCCTCTTCATCTCAGTCCCCTCCACTCCTGCAGATGAGGAGGTCGGGGGTCACCAAGGCATGGAGCTCTTCGTGCAGCGGCCCGAGTTCCAGGCCCTCAGGGCTGGCTTCGCCCTGGATGAAGGTAAGCAGGTGGGCGCCCACAGCTGGGTAGCCGGGCCGGGGCCAGGGGTTGTGAGGCAGGGCTGGGCCACTCCGCCCTCTGAATCCCCTTCTGCTCCCCAGGCCTGGCCAACCCCACCGAAGCCTTCACTGTCTTCTACAGTGAGAGGAGCCCCTGGTGTGAGTACAGGCTGGGAGGGAGGGGGGCACCGTTTAGATGGAGCCTGCAAAGGCCTCGAACCCAGGCCTCTGGCTCCTGGCCCCTTCCTGAATTGCTCTGAGGGCGAGCTGTGCCTGGGGGCGGAAACCAGCTGCACCCTGCCAGAGGAGCTTGGCTTGAGGGGCAGGCCAGGACACTCCCCCAAAAGGGCTGATAGCCCCACCCATGCTGAAGGCACACCTCTCCCCCCTCCATGGCTGGCTTCTTCCCAGGGGTGCGCATCACCTGCACGGGGAGGCCTGGCCATGGCTCTCGATTCATTGAGGACACGGCAGCTGAGAAGCTGGTACGTGGCACCTGCTGAGGGAGCCTGGGAGGCTGTCTCCTGGGCCTCTCACGTCTAACCTCACGCTCTCCTAGCACAAGGTTGTGAGCTCGATCCTGGCCTTCCGTGAGAAGGAAAAGCAGAGGTGAGACGACCTTGGGAAAGGAGTATGGGTAGGTCCAGGAGGTTGTGGCTGAGCCACCTCCTCTGATCTGTCACTCCCACCCCACCCCACCCCTACACTGCAGGTTGCAGTCAAACCCCCACCTGAAGGAAGGGGCAGTGACCTCCGTGAACCTGACCAAGCTCGAGGGCGGCGTGGCCTTTAACGTGGTCCCTGCCGCTATGAGTGCCAGTTTTGACATCCGTGTGGCACCAGATGTGGACCTGAAGGTGCCACCTCACATGGGCTCGGAGGAGGGGGCTGGGGTCCTCAGCCCTGCCTGAGGGGTCAGCTCACCCATCTCCTTTCTCTTAGGCTTTTGAGCAGCAGCTGCAAGCCTGGTGCCAGGCAGCTGGGGAGGGCATCACCTTTGAGTTTGCTCAGGTAGCCACCTGGGACCTGGGGTGCGGGGAGGACGCTGGGCTCACCAGGTGCCTGGCACTGCGGCAATGGGTGCAGCCTGCCTGGGCTCTTCTCAGTAGAGAACCACGTTTTATTTGAGCAACAGCATTAGTAGTGGAGGCCCATGTGGGTGCTGGGAACGCTGTGGGGAGTGACATCAGGCAGTTTCGCCCTGAGAACCCATCTTACATCACTGTTACAAATATGAACACAGGTAGCCGGGGGTGGGTGGGGTCTTGCTCTCCAAGAACCTGGTATGGGGTGTTTGACCAGGCCTGGGCCTGGGGAGCCATCCAGGGAAGGGGTCCTTGGGCCAGGACCTGAAGGAGGGCCACCTGGAGGTCTCCGTAGGTGGGGGTGGGGTGCAGATGTGCCCTGAGCCAGGCACAGACCCCACTGTGGATGCCCAGGCCCCATCCTGATCCCGCCATCCTTCCCCTCCCCCAGAAGTGGATGGAGCCCCGAGTGACATCTACTGATGACTCAGACCCCTGGTGGGCAGCTTTCAGCAGCGTCTGCAAGGACATGTGAGTGCACAGCCCAGCTCCCCGCCCCTTCCCCTCTCCCAGGTCCCTTTGCTCCTCCACCTCTTCCCTGGCCCTCTCACGGATCTTCCCCCGCAGGAACCTTACTCTGGAGCCGGAAATCTTCCCTGCAGCCACTGACAGCCGCTACATCCGAGCGGTGAGCCCCTCCCATGGCAGCACCTGGGCAGCAGGGGCTGGCCAGAGGGTTCTCCTGACGTCTCCTCCTCATGCCCGCAGGTGGGGATCCCGGCTCTGGGCTTCTCACCCATGAACCGCACCCCTGTGCTGCTGCACGACCACGATGAGCGGCTGCACGAGGCAGTGTTCCTCCGCGGGATTGACATATACACACGCCTGCTGCCCGCCCTGGCCAGCGTGCCTGCCCTGCCTGGCAACCGCTGAGCCCCGAGCTCCCCAGGTGCTGTCCGGAGCGTCAAGGACCTCCTCTTTCCCCATGCCCAGTAATAAAACATGTATGTGTGGACAAGCGCTGCCTGGAAAGGACTGGCAAGGCATTCGGGGAGGATTCTCTCATCTCTGGAGACAGGACCGTCACCAGCCCCACTCCAGATAAGGAAACCGAGCCTGGCTCTTGCCTTCAACGTTGTGTACCATACCACATCTCAGGCAGGCCTGTGTCCAGCAACAAGGGGCCACCATCCTGTCTCACCGTGAGTGCAGGGGTGCCATTCCTGTAGAGGCTCCCCAGACCCCAAGCTCAGGGCAGCAGTCTGGGCTCCCTAGAGACGCAGGAGCAGATGTAGAGCAGGAAGGAGAGCTTGTGAGGAATTCTTGTTGGCTTTGGCCCAAACCCACGTGCTCTAATGTTGGGAATAGGGGCCCTGGCAGACCAGGTCAATTCACTTTAGGGTCCCCAGCACACCCACCAGGGATCAGGGGCCCCAGGCAGCACCAGGAGCCACGACCCAAGAGGCAGAATCTGCTTCTTTCTGAGCTGTCCTGTCCCGAGCTCCCTAAGCATGGGTCACGGGGAGACAGCACTTGGATCTGAAGTTTTTAATTAGTTAGAAGGGACGTTGAGTCCAGGCTGTCTGAAGAGCCAGCCCTGGTCAGAGCGGACGCTGGGACCTGTGCTTCTGTGGCCCAGGTGGCCCCTGTGGAGGCTGACCGCAGCAGTGGGTTATGACCTAGGGAGACTGGCTGAAGCCATGCAGACTCTGGACACCAGGGTTTGGCCACCTCCTCAGACTTGGAAAACAACCTCCATGCTTTGGCTAGATCCCTGGTATGCAGGCCTTGCTTTTACAGTCTACCTACATGCTGACATCTGGCTAGGCCAAGCCCCTGTCAGGACAAAGCCGCTCTGCCTTCCCCCTGGAGACCCCAGCTTCAGGGACACCCCCAACCCAGCCCTGGTGACTCACCCACATGAACCACTTGTGGCCAGGGGCTACCTCCATCCCTTCCAAACTACATGGTCAGGTTTCCTCACGCAAGACACATAGTACACCTACTTCAGAGATAGGGAGACCCACATCACGGGCAGCACCTACTGCTCTGGCAGACTCCCATCACCTAGTCTCCAAAATGCCTAAAGATGGACAAGACAGGATTTGAGTTAACTGTGACCAGTGTTCTGTCTGGTGCCTTCTATAGGGAACCCCCCCCCCCCCCAATGCCCACCACTGCACTGCTTGCCCCAGAAGAAAAAGATCCTGCAGGTGAAAACAGCTGACCCAGGGCAAGCGCAGGTCCACACCCAAACATGCCAGTAAGGCGGTGCCGCTGCGACCACCCTGCCTCCTACCACCCAGGGCCCTGCGCACTGGCCAGGTGAGCGAAGAGCACGCCTGGGCCGCTCAAGTCAGTGCAGAACTCGCCCAAGGTAAGCTTCAAGCCCTAGAAACACCACTTTCCTCAACTCCTGCCCATCCACTACATCCTGGTGCTCTCTCCTTAACTCTAACCCCCACCCCACCAATCACATCATCATCATCATCATCTCCCACCCAAAGCAGGAAGTCATCCCATCCCCAGGCTCACAGACACAGGCTGAGACCCTGTCTCGGGTTTATTTGTACAAACAGCACAGGAGGACACTAGCCCCACGCAGACAGCAGCCCAGGGGTCACACCAGTCCTTCTGCCTTTGCATTGGCAGGCAAAGGCTGTTACTAGGGAGCCTTTGCGGGGGGCTGGGCACCTTTGGGAGGAGCCTGAGCCGGAACTGGGGCTGCAGGTGTGGCCTGGGCCTTGGGCTTGGTTTGGGCCTGAGCCTTGGGTTTGGCTTGGGCCTGGGCCTTGGGCTTGGCTTGGGCCTGAGCCTTGGGCTTGCCTTGGGCCTGGGCCTTGGGCTTGCCTTGGGCCTGAGCTTTGGGTTTGGCTTGGGCCTGGGCCTTGGGCTTGGTTTCGGCCTGGGCTTTGGGCTTGGTTTCAGCCTGGGCCTTGCCTTTGCCCTTGCTCTTGATTTGAGCTTGAGCTTGGGCCTTGATTTGAGCCTTGACCTTGCCCTTGATTTGGGGCTCAGTCTTGGCCTTTGCCTTGGTCTGTGGCCGGGACAGCCTGAGACCCCTAGCAATGCGGGCACGGGCACGCCTTCCAAGCTTGGGGTGGGCAATGTAGGCAAGCCGATGGAGCTTCCGGCTGACACCCTTCGGGATCGTGGGCTTTACTTCCTTAGGCTTGACCAGGGCCTTGATAGCTTCAGCACGCGCAGCCATAGCCTTGGCGTTGTTGGCCTGCATCTTCTTCAGGCCCTTCTTGTTGTGCTTCTTGGCAAAACGCATGTTCCTCAGGAACTTGGGGTCCACCTGGAAAGCAGGAAGGGTACAGGCGGCAGCACGTGAGCAGAGCTGCGAGTCATCCCCTGGTGTCCCTTTCCCTAAGAGTGCCTGCCAGTCTGAACCCAACAGCTGAGAAAATACTATTTCTTGACACAAAAGTTAACGCTCTGGGGTGTAGTGGGTAAAGCTACTGCCTGCAGTACCAGCATCCCATACGGGCACTGGTTTTGAGTCCTGGCCGCTTCACTTCCAATCCTGCTTCACCATGGCCTAGGAAAGCAGAAGATGGCCTAAGTGCTCGGGCCCCTGCACCGGTGTGGGAGACCTGGAAGAAGCTCCTGGCTCCTGATCGGCCCAGCTCTGGCTGTTGTGGCCATCTGGGGAGTGAACCAGTGGAAGATTCTAACTCTGCCTTTCAAATAAAATAAACTTTTTTTTTTTTTAAAGTTAACACTCCCCCTGGTTAAAGCTATGCAAACCACATTTTAAGGCCGTACGTCCAGAGCCCAGTAGCGCTAACAGTCAAACGCAAGTGCTGATGGAAGAACAAAGGCCAGGCCAGCGCCGTGGCTCACTAGGCTAATCCTCCGCCTTGCGGAGCCAGCACACCGGGTTCTAGTCCCAGTCGGGGCGCCGGATTCTGTCCCAGTTGCCCCTCTTCCAGGCTAGCTCTCTGCTGTGGCCAGGGAGTGCAGTGGAGGATGGACCAAGTGCTCGGGCCCTGCACCCCATGGGAGACCAGAAGTACCTGGCTCCTGCCATCAGATCAGCGCGGTGTGCCGGCCGCAGCGGCCATTGGAGTGTGAACTAACGGCAAAGGAAGACCTTTCTCTCTGTCTCTCTCTCTCACTGTCCACTCTGCCTGTCAAAAATTAAAATAAAAAAAAAGAACAAAGGCCGCTGCCCGCTCTACCAGGGTTGCAGAGCTTAAACTTCCCACTACAAGGTTCAGCCAAGCCTTCCCCCTGAAATCCCTTCACGGATGCTGCTTCTCCTCTAGGGCAAGGGGAGGGTAAGCCTGGTCCCACACGCACCACGGATCCGGAGAGCAAAGGGCACTGGGGGAGAACAGCCAGGGACACGCTCGGCTTTGCTGCAGACCCTCCAGCCTTCTCAGCTAACCCTTACACCGCCCCCCAAGTCCAACACTGGCTCCTATCAAGGTCCTGAGGCAGGACAATGGGTCCAATACACACAGGTATGGCTGCTCCTCCTAGGACGTGCCCTGGAAGAGCAAGGGAGAGGGCAAAGTGCCTGCAGGAGGCCAGCTACCCCTGGGGTGGGGGCAGGCAAAGGGAAGCTGGTGCAGATCTGACGGGGTCAAGAAATCCCGGGCCCCGGTAGACCAGGTGAGCGCAGCAACTGTTCAGAACAGCGCTCAGGCACAGGCCGGGAAGCAGGTACACGACAGAAGACCTGACCACACCTGCAGCCATAGGACAGCTAATGCGATTCAAGGAACCCACTCACCCCTTTCAGAGACTCGTATCTTTGTGATCGCGGTTTCTTGATGCCATTTCTGTGCCATTTTCGGGCTGTCAGAAAGAAGGAATTAAGGCCAAGAAAGGTACTTCTAATAAAACCTCCCAACATCACAGCCGCAAAGTCTGGGAGAACTTCCCCGAGACCTGGGAAACCTCTGCTTACTGGGGCGATCTCAAGAGGACCCCCGACTCCTAACCCTTTAAACACAGCGCCAAACCCAAAGCGGAAATGTGTCCCCTGGTCTCGCCCCCAGTAAGCCCAAACCAGTCCTTGCCAGGGCCTGGGGCCTAAGCTGGGCCCAAGACACTTACACTGGTTGTGCGTGGTGTGGTTCTTGGACTTGGCCATGTCTGCACCTGCACGACGAAAGGGTGATCAGAGATGGGGGGTCGCCGGTCGGGGCAGCTCTGCCGCCTGACGTGGACGGGCCCCAGGCCAGAATGAAGCTGCGGCACAGCCGCTTCCAGGAGCCCCTCCACTCAGCACAACTCGATGCCAGTCCCGGCCTGCCAAACCCACGAAACGGCGCCCTGAAACCGAGCCGCCAACCCTCCGCGCGGCTGCCCTCTGCGATCAGAACCCGAGTTCTTCCCCCGCCATCCACCCCTGGAGGACCGACGAGCAACACAACCGCCCCGCGACCTCCACTCCCCACGGCCACACAGCTGGCCCCCCCTGCCCTCCCCGTGGCCCGCGGGCCATAGCCCGCACCCTGCCGCCACCCGTGAGCTATGGATGGTGTCGGATGCCACGGGGGCCAACACTCACCGTAACCCGCGGCTGCCGAAGCGCCTGGGACCGGAAAGAGAAGAGAGAGGCCGCAGCGCAGCACGGGAAATAGGGTCGACGACGCCGGAAGGTACTCCTGGAAAAGTATCCCCCAAGCGGCGAGAAGAAAGGTTCCGAAAGCCCGGAAGGCCACGGGCCGCACAAGGAGGCGGTGCTGTCGGCCTGGCCCCGCCCTCTTCAGCTGCCTCCGCGCCCTCTCCTGTTCGGGACCTGGCCCTCCCTTGAGGCTCCATCCCCTCAAAGAACTTGAAGGCAAAGGGGGAGTGTTCGAGGAATGGGTGCTAGACAGGGAGAGGCCGGAGATCTGTTCTTCAAAAACACCCCTGGGTTCCCGCGTGGAGAACGGACTGCGGGCGTGGGGCGAGGCGGGGGAGGGAGAGCTGGGGGGGGGGTGCTGCTGCAGGCCCCCGCGGGGCAATTGGGGTGGAGAGGAGTGGACACGCTGCGGAGGGAGCAGGCAAGGCTGGCCCTCAGTCTTGAACCCCTGGGGTAAGGGGGTGCTGTGCGCAGGGAGGATTGAGGAAGGAGGGGATGGTGGTTTTATCTGGAAGTGGATTGGTGATCTAGATGTTTCCTTGTAAATGCGCTGACCGCGAGATGCATGTCATGCCCTCACTGCCTGGGGTGGGGCCCCACACACGTGGGATTCTTCCCTCGCTGAGGTCAGGACACAGGGACATTCCTTTGCATAAATTCTATTAAAAATTTTTATTTATTTTATCATTGGAAAGTCAGAGTTACAGAGAGCCAGAGGCAGAGAGGTCTTCCATCTGCTGGTTCACTCTCCAAATGGCAGCAATGGCTGGAGCCGCGCTGATCTGAAGCCAGGAGCCAGAAGCTTCTTCTGGGTCTCCCATGCAGGTGCAGGGGCCCAAGCACTTCGGCCATCTTTACTGCTTCCCAGGCCAGAGCAGAGAGCTGGATGAGCAGCTGAGCCGCTACACCACAGCGCCGGCCCCGCACAAATTCTTGATCTCCACTCACCCTGACAGCCACTGCCATTTGCTTCTCTCCAAACTCACAGTCTTCTGTTGCCAAGCACAACGCTTCCTCCCTTCCTCCTGCCTCAGGGCCTTGGCACCGGCTAGCCCACCCCCTACCCCTGTCTCCTGGGCTGGGGGTGTCCCTGCTCTTAATTAAAAATTTTTTTTTCATTTCATAGAAGTACCTTTTTAATTTTTTATTTCATAAAGTACTTTTTTATCTTTTATTTCATCAAAGTACCTTTTTATTTCATAAATCTTGATTTATTTATTTATTTGAAAGGCAGAGTTACAGAGAGGCAGAGAGAGAGAGGAAGAGAGGTCTTCCATCCGCCGGTTCACTCTGATGATGGCCACAATGGCTGGAGCTGCGCCAATCTGAAGCCAGGAGCCAGGAGGTTCTTCCCAGTGTCCCATGTGGGTGCAGGGGCCCAAAGACTTGGGCCATCTTCCACTGCTTTCCCAAGCCATAGCAGAGAGCTGGATTGGAAGTGGAGCAGCTGGGACTCAAACCAGCACCCATATAGGATGCCGGTGCTGCAGGCGGCAGCTTTACCTGCTATGCCACAGCACTGCCCCTTCCCCCCGCTCTTTATTTTATTTTTTTTTTAAAGATGGTCCTGCCTTTTTTTTTTTTTTTTTTTTTTTTGACAGATAGAGTTAGACAGTGAGAGAGAGAGAGAAACAGAGAGAAAGGTCTTCCTTCCATTGGTTCACCTCCCAGTGGCCGCTATGGCCGGCACTGCGCCAATCTGAAGCCAGGAGCCAGGTGCTTCCTCCTGGTCTCCCATGTGGGTGCAGGGCCCAAGCACTTGGGCCATCCTCCACTGCACTCCCAGGCCACAGCAGAGAGCTGGACTGGAAGAGGGGCAACCGGGACAGAATCCAACGCCCTAGGCCGGTACCACGGCTCAATAGGCTAATCCTCCACCTGCGGCGCCGGCACCCCGGGTTCTAGTCCTTGTTGGGGCACAGGATTCTGTCCCAGTTGCTCCTCTTCCAGGCCAGCTCTCTGCTGTGGCCTGGGAAGGCAGTGGAGGATGGCCCAAGTCCGTGGGCCTTGCACCCGCATGGGAGACCAGGAGGAAGCACCTGGATCCTGGCTTCAGATCAGCACCATAGGCTGGCTGCAGCACGCCGGCCGCAGCGGCCATTGGGGGGTGAACCAATGGAAAAGGAAGACCTTTCTCTGTCTCTCTCTCTCTCTCACTGTCCACTCTGCCTGTCAAAAAAAAAAAAAAAAAAAAGAATCCAGCGCCCCAACCGGGACTAGAACCCGGGGTGCAGGCAGAGGATTAGCCTAGTGAGCTGTGGCGCCACCTCCCCCCCCCTCCCCCCCCCCGCTCTTCAAAGACAAGCTGTTTCCTGGAGAGGACTGCGTAGATGCCCTACCTGCAACACAGCTGAGAGTAGGCACCGTGGGGCAGTGGGTTAAGCTCCCCTCCTTGAACGCCAGCCTCCCTTATCAGAGGGCTGATTAGGCTGTTCTGTAGCTCCTGCCGAGTTACCCGGGAGGCGTGGGCTTCTCAGCTGAGCGGGATCTCCTGGGCCTCCTCCTGGCAGCAGCGGGCGGGAGGCGTCAGGCTTATTTGGCAGCATCTGTCACAGGCCTGGTGTCCGCTTGTCGGACCTGCCTGGCAACTGTTTGAGGAATTAAATGGGCACACGGCACAGATCCAGGACCGACTCAGGGGCAAGAAGCCGGCGGATCCAAGGGGATTTCACAGCTCTTCTGCTGGGGACCCCGGGCCCTGCGCCCTGAGCCCAGTTCTCAGTGGTACAGGGGATGGAACAGTGATGGCCTCAAGGGGTTAAACAGGGCGATTTCAGTAAAGCCTTGAACACTGTACTGAGCACACAGTAGGTGCTGAATCATTGTATGCCTCATCCATGCTCCCCTGACATGAAAGATACCCAAGTTGAATGACCAGGATCGGGCATTAAAATCCAGGATGGAGGTTTGTGAAAGACAGCGCGTTAAGTTCACTCCCTTCCAGAGCCTGGGATGCCCAGCTTCTGGGAGCAGGAACGGTGCCGTAGGCAGAGGACGAGGCCAGGGAGGAGAGGCCAGCTCCCGCAGCGCCCGGCAGGCTCAGTTCCAGGACACCTAGTGTCCCCCTGCTGGGGGCTGCCACCTTGCCCAGGGGACTATGGCCCTGTCATCCACAAGGTGGCAGTGTAGGACCACTGATGGCAACAGGCTGCAGTGGGCAGACTGGCGCGGGGGCCCTTCCTGCCTGGAGAAGCCTTTCCATCCCCCAGGGCTCTCACAGCCTAGCCTCTAACCCATCCCCCACCCCCACCCGCCGTGGGGTTCTGACCACCGCACTTCACAGACGGGGGGATGGAGTCCTTGGGCATGACTTGCTGAAGGTCCCACAGCCAGATGGTGAGCAATCACAGGCAGGAATGGGGGAGCAGGGGATGGTGCACACCCCCGCTGTGGAGGGGGTCCTGTGGCAGTGACCGCCAGGCGACCTGGGAGAAGGCCCTGGCTCCACTCCCATGCACCCGGCCGGCTCAGAGCAGGCCTAGCAAGCAGGTGGTGGTGCCCGTGGCAGGAGGGCTGGCTGGGATCAGCTGGCCTCAGGCAGGCAGGACGAGAAGGGAGGAGACCTGCCATGAAGGTTGAAGGGCAGGGATGGAGTCTGCAGGTGCACCAGGGTGCCGGGCAGGGCATGCTGCTCCCCTGACGCCCAGCCCCAGGCACAAGAGGAGGCTAAGGGTTCTCCTTTCACTAAAAGCATGTGGAAAGGAAGAGTGGGTGGGGGTCGGGGGGGAGACACCCCGGAGCCTCAGTGGCCTCGGCAGTGTCATCATGTTGGTAACCACAGCCCCCTCCCAGCTCCTCTTTCTGCCCTAACCCTGTCCTGCCTGGATGCCCCTCCTACCTGCACCCTCCCTGCCTCTCCCCCTGCCCAGACATAAAGGGATGCCCGGGGGTGGGGGGAGCCAGCCTCTCTGCTCACCAAGCAGCCTGGGGTTAATGTCCTGGCTGCCTCCAGACTGCCCTTCCTGGGGACCCGGATGGAAGACCTTTAAGGGGGAGGAGGCAGGAGAAGTGACCTTTGGGAGAATTCTTCAGAATGAACAAGAGAGCTACCATCTCCCAGAGACCCCAAGCCCCGAATCTCCCAGCCTGCACTCCCTCCCTGGCCCAGGCCCCAACCTTCCCAGGAGCCGCTGCAGCGTTTAGGAAGCCAGAGCCATGCAGGAGCCTTGGAGACCACTGGGTGCAGGAGAAAGGACTCACCCTAGGGCACCCAAGGAGCATGGGGCAGGGGAGGGCAGGGTCCGGAAGGGAACCAGGGGAGCCTGGGGGTGGTGTTGTTACTGAGGGTCTCAGGAGTGGGTGGGCAGTGAGGGTCACAGCACGGCTGCCCCTGTGGGGCTGGGGGGGATGGTGGGGGTTCCCCAGGGGGTCCAGGGAAATCTCTTGTCTGCCCTTCCCTGAGCAGGGGCCTGCCCACCCACCATCAGTGCTTCTGCAATGCCCCCACCCAGGCCCCAGCACACCAGTGCCTGAGTAAGGCCGAATGAGGCCCAGCCCTGCTCTGAGGGCACCAGAGTCGCCAGGAAGAGCAGAGTGGGCTGAGGGGCACAGCTGCCTGGGGAGCCTAAAGCCCCCATCAAGCAAGGACTCAGCCACAGGCAATGGGTCTGGGGCTAGCACAGCCCTGCCCCTGTGTGTCTCCCTGTGTCCCCCTCACCTCTGCTGGTGAGGGAGGGGGTCCCCCCAGCACAGCAGACACACAGGGTGAGACGTGGCTCCCCCTGAATCCATACACAGGCCCTGGGAGCCCCAAGCCTCTGGCATCCGCAGGACCAGGGCTAGTGCCCTGATCACCGGGAGCACTACTATGCGCAGGGGCTAGAGGATGCATGCAGACCCGCACAGCGCCTCTGGAGGTTACAAGGAGGGACCTGGGGGGCCTTCCTGGGAGAGGAGGCAGGCTCGTGTGCCGGGGCAGGGGCTGTGAGGACTTGCAGCCGGCCCATCCCTGATCTGTCGATGACCGCCTGAAGCCCTAAAGGCCTGCCCACAGCTGCTGCTCTCAGCTTCCAGCCCTGGGTCAGGGGTCCCGCCGGGGCAGGGGCCAGAAACCCTGCACCGAG